CTACAGTCAGCTATAAATGGTCTAGACAAGACAAAATGTGAAATAATTCAAAAGGGAAAACCAACCACCTGATTCATGACAAAATAACTCTGCTATGGAGTTCTTATGTTTCCATCTTGCAAACGGTTGAATGTTAATGAATAAGGTTAATCTCTAAAAGTTATTGAACTTTTTAAAATAAAAAATCATACATTCTTTACACAGACAACATATTTATATACATATATATTATATTTCAATTGAAATAGCAGAGACAACTTAAAGCAAATAAATAACTACTCATTAATATTTTATAAAGACAAAATACACCAAATATAAATATATACCAATCCTTTTTTAACCTTACATAGAACCGAATAGCACACATTAACTTCGACAAGCTGAACTGATAAAAACCAGACTCCTATTTAACTAAGAATAAAACAACTATCAGTAGGATGACCAAATTAAGAATAAATGTCATGGGTAACCATTACTACTAGAACAACTTTTTTTGTCTCATCAATTATGTATGTTTCAATCAGGATTTTCTTTTTAAATATATAATTGGACAAGGTAATCTGAACACATTTTATTTAAGACATACTTTCTAAACTCAACTTTCCCTTTTTTTAATATATTTTAATGTACATGTGGTATTTTAATGTATAGATCCATATAGATATTAGGAGATGTGGTATGATTGCCAATGAGACACCTATCCACCAATGTTCAAATGATGTAGATTAAGCAATTATAGGTCACTGTATATACAGCCTTCAACAATGAGAAAATCCATACTATAAAGTCAGCTGTGAAAGTCCCCTACAAGCAAAATGTTAAAAATGAAACTGTGATAGTGGGAGCAGGGCATGATGCCCAATGGACACATATTCTTGTTCATTGCTTTAAGTCTATAAAAATATTACTAAATCATTGCTAAAAACATTACCAGTTAGATATTAAAAAAAAAAAGCCATTGGTATGCACTTGTTAACATTCTAATGATATTTGTTTATCTAATGTTCAATTCTTACTCTGAAATCATAATTTACGTTTATTGGATTTCATAATTAAATAAAATAATATTGCACCAAAAGATGACCTGATATTTTATTGGTAAATGATGAGATAAGAGCAAATATTTCACTTAAAATAAAATTCATAGAGTCTTTCCAAAGAACCAGTTAACTGGATATTGACAGCAGTAATAATTGTTGAGAGGTTAAAAACAACTGTAATGCATTATTTGTTCATGCACTGAAGCATTTAAGGCCTTTTAGGATAGGAATTTGCAATTCACCTCAAAATATGCACTTTTTGGTTTTCAGAAGATTACAAAAAAATTGACCAATATAAATCATTTAAAAAAACATCTAAATATAATTAACCAAGATACTAAACTGCTCTCAATGAAACCAGACAACAAACTTATCATTTAATGGAAAGAAATTTGGCATACTGTTTTGAAAAAGCAAATAACCAGATATGAAGTACTACATGTACCTCTTCATAGTCCTATGTTATATAATCAAGAAATAAATCTCTTCTTAAGTAACTGTCAGTACAACACAATTCAAAATATTCGTCCAGTCTTCCCCTAAAATACAAATCATTTGGTTATCAATTCCAATAAAATCCAATTGTCAAAGTAAACTGTTGATGTTTAAACAATTTTGTTCAAGATAAACATGTCATATAGACTATGGATAAGTAATGACAAAAATTCCAAAATAGAGTTGTATTGTAAGTCTACTTTAAGTTAAAAAACAATAAATGTGTTTAAGGCAGTATTTCGTATCTTTGATGTAAGGCTACTATCATGACACATTAGTTCAAATGACTAAAAAAACATGAAGTCCATGTCATACATAAAACTTGCATTTTAAAACCTACATTTCACAGCTAAGTTTTAGGAATGTATTAAACAAATAAAGCAAAATCTCTATAGACCTAAGCAAAGCTATTAAATTTTTTGACTAACCCTTTATCGATTGCAATTTACAATGAGGGATATGCATGCTCTCAAACTGATCCTTATGCTAGATCATCATGGGTAGTCAGGGTCATGAAATATCCAATTGCCTTTGAAAGACGGCACCAATGAACTATTTACAACACATAGCTCCAACAAGTCCTTTACACAAAAAATAATAATTTGTTATTTTAAAGACATATATTGAACTGACCAGTAGCAAGAACATCATTCAGGGGTGAATATAGGAATTTTGAACTAGAGGCTCTAAAGAGCCTGTGTCCATCACCTTGGTATATGTGCATATTAAACAAAGGACAAAATTGTGTTTTGGTGATGGTGATGTGTTTGTAGATCTTACTTTACTGAACATTCTTGCTGCTTACAATTATCTCTATCTATAATGAACTTGGCCCAGTAGTTACAGTGGAAAATACTTTGTAAAAATTTACAAAAATTTACAAAATTTATGAAAATTGTAAAAAATTGACTATAAAGGGCAATAACTCCTTAAGGGGTCAATTGACAATTTTGTTCTTGTTGACTTATTTGTAGATCTTACTATGCTGTACATTATTGCTGTTTACAGTTCATCTCTATCTATAATAATATTCAAAATAATAACCAAAAGCTGCAAAATTTTCTTAAAATTACCAATTCAGGGGCAGCAACCCAACAACGGGTTGCCTGATTGGTCTGAAAATTTCAGGGCAGATAGATCTTGACCTGATAAACAATTTTACCCCATGTCAGATTTGCTCTAAATGCTTTGGTTTCAGAGATATGAACCAAAAACTGCATTTTACCCTATGTACTATTTTTTAGCCATGTCGGCCATCTTGGTTCGTGGGCGGGGTCATCGGACACATTTTTTAAACTAGATACCCTAATGATGATTGTGGAAAAGTTTGGTTAAATTTGTCTTAGTAGTTTCAGAGGAGAAGATTTTTGTAAAAGATTATAAAAATTTACGAAAAATGGTCAAAAATTGACTTTAAAGGGCAATAACTTCTTCACGGGTCAATTGACCATTTTGGTCAAGTTGACTTAATTGTAGATCTTACTTTGCTGAACATTATTGCTGTTTACAGTTTATCTCTATCTTTAATAATATTCAAGATAATAACCAAAAACGGCAAAATTACCTTAAAACTACCAATTCAGGGGTAGCAACCCAACAACGGGTTGTCATATTCATCTGAAAATTTCAGGGCAGATAGATCTTGACCTGATAAACAATTTTAACCTCATGTCAGATTTGCTCTAAATGCTTTGGTTTCAGAGATATAAGCCAAAATCTACATTTTACCCCTATGTTCTATTTTTAGCCATGGTGGCCATCTTGGTTGGTTGGCCGGGTCACCGGACACATTTTTTAAACTAGATACCCCAATGATGATTGTGGCCAAGTAGTTTCAGAGGAGAAGATTTTGTAAAAGTTAACGACGACGGACGATGATGACGACGGACGACGGACGCCAAGTGATGAGAAAAGCTCACTTGGCCCTTTGGGCCAGGTGAGCTAAAAAGGGGGGATTCCCTAAAATTGAACATTAACAATGTGAAAAAATTTTGAATTATTTTATGCAAAAAAAATTTAAAAAATTTTTTCTGATAAAAAAATGGGAGAGGAACGTCCTCTATGCCCCCTACCTGAATGTTCCATTGTTATTAAACACCTATGTAACTCTGAGTGTTATGTAAATGTCCAAAAATTCTCAGGAAAAATTATACATTTTCACTAACAATTAAGGAATAATAGTGCTGCTTTAAAAAAACTGCAGATACATGAGAATGCTCAAACTAAATAAATACAACAACAAACAGTGAAGAAGTTTATTAAACAGAACACATTCCAGATGTGACTGGAAACATATTCTAACTAGTTTATGTAATTAAATTAAGGATGCCATTTGCTATCTGTTATAAAAAGCCAGGTAATTTTTTAAAGGGGTTCATGTAACATTCTTACAGCAATTCAGATAATTAGGCATGTAATTCTTATCTGGTTTCATGCTATTTTGTGGCAATTTTTTTTCCTGTGGAAATTAAGTTATATAAACAAACATACCTTAAGCCTGGCACATAATTAAACATGAAAGATTATTAAAGAATAAACAAGTCTGTTATGTTCTTTCAGATACAGAAGTTAAGCTAAATCTTGGTTTAATAGGTATTAAAGCTTTGTTCCTCCTGTGTTGCTTTTAAAGATGTAATCTAAAGGTGAACGTACAGATACTAGCAACAGGAGTTAATTATTTTTAGTACAATAATGACTTATGTTCAAATCAGAATTAAAATGCTGTGCTTGCTTATTTGAAATCGTTTTTGGCAATGCTTTTGAAATTTGAAAGCTTCAGATTGTATGCCAAAGTTAAATGTTTTGTGTCATAACTTTTAGAGTTCTCACATGTAGACATACTTTTACATAATCAATGTGACATACAATGTGACGAGAGCATCTTAACTGAAATGTAATACTGAACAGAAAATGACATGCATTTTATTTTGTATTTCAGCCATTAAGTTATGAAATAGTTTTAATAACATATGAAGGCAACCGAGGCTTGACAGTTTTGTTTGGCATAATATTTGTATGTGTGAAACACATCAGGATAAAATGCTATTGTCAGAACAATTAACAACTATAATACCAGATGATTTTTGTAATATAACAACAGTAAACAGAAGAGAAAAAAACCATTGCAGGATTGCAGACAATGGAATTTTTTTCATTTTTTGTTCAATGCTTTTATGCGTCTAAGATGACAAAACAAGATTTAAGTGAGGCAAGGAAAATGCAGATATAATTTCAAATTATTTTTATATTATCCTGACACATGCTGTTATATAACAAAAAACAGAGAAACTTCAGCTTCAAGCATATTAGCAGAGACATACATAGAATAATTCAGTGAGTCCTTCATAATCAGTTTGTAGGTGAAATATCAAGTATGAGAGCACAGCTTACTACAGTCTGCAAGAGTACCTCTTAAAATCTAATATCTTAATACTCTTTACTGATATTTTTATTTTCTATTTACAGATTTGAGATGGTATTCAAAGGTCTTCATTGACTGAAAAGAAGATAAATCCACTATTTTCAAAAATGTTGAATACAACTTTAACTAGTCCTTTAGACACTGTTACCCCTCTGTACCAGTTCATCTCAGAGGCGAATGATACACATCATGTTATGGGAAACTTTACAACGCCATCTATGGTCAGCAATGAAACAGTCTGGGTACCAGATATAGCGCTAGCTCTCAAAGTTGGCAAAATATGCTATAAATATATTGGACCAACCATCTGTGCAATAGGTATCTTGTGCAACATTATGAACTTGTTAGTTTTGACACAGCGTCAACTCAAAGAGTCCCCATATACATATTTAACTGGACTAGCTCTGACCGATTTGGGAGCACTGACATTTTCATTCATTTTCATGGTGGGTTCTTACCAGAGAAAAGAATACTTCTGGAAGTTTTATGATGCCTATATTTATCTTCCATTGGTAAATGTTTGTACCAATTCCAGCGTCTGGATAACTGTTGTTCTAACTATTGAACGTTTTCTCTTTGTACGGTATCCACTGTGGGCGAAAGCCATGTGTGATCGAGCCAGTGCAAAAATGAAAAATGCATTAATTATTAGCATTATGTTTGTCATAAACATTCCACACTTTCTTTTATTGAGAGTAGAACCAATTGCAAACACAACAGATCAGTACACAAGAGTTTCTACGGATTTCAGACACAGTGAACACTACTATAGAATCCGCTGGTTCTATAGCATCATCATTCACTTTGTTCCACTCATAATTCTCAGCACGGCCAATGCATATCTTGTCTATGCCGTAATGAGGGCACGGAAAGAAAGAGAAATCCTACAGATCCGTAACAACAAAGAGGCCACATGGTACAGAGAACAAGTCAGACTAACCGTAACTCTCATCAGTATAGTCTGTCTCTTTATTGTCTGCATAATACCATCAGCATTCTCCAACAAAAGAATTGCATATGCATTGTTTGGTGGGAACCAACCATTAAATCAATTTGCCTTGTCAAACTTTTACTTAATTCTGCAATATGTAGCCAATGTTCTTGTCTGGTGCAATTTGTCTTTGAACTTTGTATTTTACTGTGCCATCAACAAGAAGTTTCGCTACGTTATGCGTTGGATGGTACAACGATGGATCAAGAATCTCCGAAGAAGAAACGGCAACGTCTTGCTTCTGGTCAACTTTAAATCTGGACATTCCATTACCCGCAACAGCAGCAGTCAGACAAACAGCATTACAATGACGTCTAAGACAAACCCACCAGATTTACTGTTAAAGATGGACAGAAGCAACCATAACGGAAACCATAAAACAGCACTTATAGAAGATTGCGAAAAGGAAACTGAAAATGAAACCTAAGCAAAAAAAAAACATTGAGGCAATTATCATTTCATTTGCTTATTGTGAAAGATTTCAGGGAGTGAGACTCTAAAAGTTGCTATATTTTCTATTTACCTCTAAAATTTGTGATACTGTTGTCTGTTGCATTTAAATTTTGCTTTTGTTTCAAGAATCTGGACTAACCTATATTGTTGAATCGTTACATAAAATGGGATTATTAAGTTTAAAAGAAAAATTATGAATAAGGAACATTTTGTAATACATTGTACTACAATATTCACTAATACTGTGGATTCATTTATTTTCGTGGGTACCAATTTTCATGAATTTAAGAAAAATCATATTTTTGTGGTAACTTGATTTTCATGGATTTGCCAAAGTTTCCATACAAGCCTTATGGGGAATTCATATTTCTTTGAACATTTAAATTCTGGTTTGCCTCTAACAATGAAATCAACGAAAATTGGTATCCAATGAATATATACACAGTATATCAGTAACACTGAAATATAATGAAGCCAAGATGTAATATATATATGTGTATTTGCCTGCTAGCATGTAAGGGAAAAAGAAAACTATATGCTTGGTATCTCCTTCTGAGACTTTAAAGTGGTAATACTGCCAACAATTTCCACTTGGTCTCAATATTATTTCCTTATTTTAGGATTCCCATAGTTTTAGCTATTTTCAAATAATTAGATACTTGTTAAAAGCGCATCCTAAATTTTCGAGCCAAAATTTCAGCCAACATTTCATTAGGACTATATCTAAAAATATCTGTGGCAGAATGTATACAAAGTCATTCTAGGCAAATGTTTATTTTGCAGAAAGTGATAGTTGTTTTCATGAAAGTACACTAAATTTGTTATTATGGGAACATTGTAGAAGAATTTAATTTCTTTTCACTCAAGTATTAATTCTTTGTAAGGAAAAAAACAGAAAAACGTTTGTTAATAATTAGGTCCAAGGACACAGTTATCGTCCTTTGGTTTTCGTTGTCTACGAATATAGTCCCTAGTGTGAACAGTGTATAACTTGCTTTTTTTTTTGATACACTTTCCCAATTTATTTCTTGATATTTTATGCATGAAATATTAAGTAAGGGGATGAAATTACATGTTAAAAAAATTTGGGTGCTGAATCTTTATGTTAAGTAGTGATTTGGTCCAGTTAAAAAAGGTCAAAAATTAGAATGTCTGAAGCTGTCAAACTGAATTTTAGCCCCCCTTAACACAGAATTGTCAATATTTTGAGTTAGAGCTGGTAGAAGTTTCTATAATTTTGATATTATTTGTATCAATAGTAGTACACTACACTGTAAAAATCTTTTTAAGATAGAGCAGGTGCGATTTTTTTAATTTGAATTTATTGTCTAAAAGAAATGCACTACGAAATAACTGTGTTCTCGGGCCTAAGAGATGAATTCCGTAAATGTAGATTCTGTACTTTGGCAACTTTCCTGAATGGTTTGCTGGTTTCAATTTGTCAAACTCAATAAAAGTAAAGCATTTACATCTTTGTTTGACAGAAATTCTGTTTAAATGTCCCATTTTGGCATTATACGGATAAAATAAGCATTTTAAAGCAGTTTCCATTTTATGCCTAAGAGCCATGCTGACTTTCTATCTGGCAGCTTTTTATGTTCCTGATATTTGTGTTTCTATGCTTAAATCAAATTTAATTAACCATTTGTGAACTCAGAATCTAGAGAAAAGTAGATTATCACAGAAAAAATTTGCAGAATATTTGTATTTATGTCCCTGGTTAAACGGCCTGTTTGATGTATGTGAAATGTGAAGAGCTTTGTACATAAAATCTGTAGTCCATCACAAATATTTCACTAAATCTGTAAAAAAAACACTTTACAATGATCAGTACACCCTATTCATTTCATATGCTACCATAATTTTCTTCTTTAGGATAGTAAGTGGTTCAAATATATGCCAAATGAGACTAAAACTACATGCAAGTTTTCCATTGAAAAGTGAAAAACTGGTCATCAGACCATACTGTCTGCAAAAAAAAGTTGAATTCAAGAGTCCTTTTGCAATTAGACTTCTTGTATCATGACATCTTAGCATAGAAATGAGCAAAAAGTAACAAATTTCAATTTCTTATAGCCTCTGTGTGCATTTTTATATGTAAATATGGGCTACGGCCTAAATCGACTCTAAATAATTCTCAGTCTTACATGGCCTAAGACCATTTTATACTCATGTGGTATGCTTTTTGTAACTTTTCTTTACATTTAAAGTACATTTAATATATATGGAAGAATAATGTATGGTTAAAAAACTTCAAAAACTTCAAATTGGTTGAAAAAAATGCATGTTTATGTAAGGCTTCCCTTTATTCGAAAATCTCTATTTTCAGGCACAGGCTCATATAAATTTGACTTTTGAATAACTGTAATAAATCTGATAAATCAAATGAGTGTTCCGTTGCTTTTAATACTTATTATATTAAATTCAAGAGTATTTAAAAAGCAAATTTTTGCAATATTTAAATTTTTTAGGCCAAAATCTTGACAGTTGAAAATATTTGATTTAAACGTCAAAAATAAACATCCAAATTTAAATATTAAAATGGCCCTAGTTTCTATAATATATATCCTATGGCCATGAAACTTGGCCAACTATCTTATAATTGCCTAAGCTTAGGTCATGCAAAGTTTTATTAAAATTGGTCAAGTCTTTCTATCCTATTAGGTCCAAGGACACAGTTATCGTCCTTTGGTTTTCGTTGTCTACGAATATAGTCCCTAGTGTGAACAGTGTATAACTTGCTTTTTTTTTTTATACACTTTCCCAATTTATTTCTTGATATTTTATGCATGAAATATTAAGTAAGGGGATGAAATTACATGTTAAAAAAATTTGGGTGCTGAATCTTTATGTTAAGTAGTGATTTGGTCCAGTTAAAAAAGGTCAAAAATTAGAATGTCTGAAGCTGTCAAACTGAATTTTAGCCCCCCTTAACACAGAATTGTCAATATTTTGAGTTAGAGCTGGTAGAAGTTTCTATAATTTTGATATTATTTGTATCAATAGTAGTACACTACACTGTAAAAATCTTTTTAAGATAGAGCAGGTGCGATTTTTTTAATTTGAATTTATTGTCTAAAAGAAATGCACTACGAAATAACTGTGTTCTCGGGCCATAACACTGGAATTTGTTTAATCCTGTACCTGCTAGATGGTCAACTTATAATTCAAGGGGAATAAATCTATCTATATCAAGTAAATAATTCAAACATTACTCTCATTGAGAATTTTTTTGGTTCATATAAACACTGTCTATTTAAAAAATGTCTTTAATACAATTCATTAAATTATTTATATTGATTTCATTACACTAAAACTCTGCAAGATACTATATATTTTAGTGAAAAAAACCTTACATCTTGCTAACAGAACAGCTATAGCTATATTTCTATTATGTGAGGTGAACAAAATTCAGCTAGCATTCAGCAAATTCTGTAATAATATGAAAAGATATAGGAATTCAGGAAGGCGTAATTAAAAAAAAAACCACTCTAACTTCATCTACATTTTATAAAGAAGGAGTAGCTCCCTAAACTGAATTCGATTATTCAAAATTTACAAAATGTGACCAAATTTAACAACAGTAAATATTCACCAATGCAAGGATTCACTGACTTACATACATGTAGATCCTTTACAGGGTTCTAAAATACAACATGCTGTTACCTTTGTACATTTTGCCTCTGAATTCTGAGTGAGAAGCTCTACTACATGTATTGTAAATAGAATAATGAAAAAAAGTTGGGTTGTTTTTGTTATCAAATTGGACACAAAAACTTCTCATCTAAAATGAACTTTTGATGTATAAAATGCCATCTGACCACTAAATACATTGTAACTGTTATAGAACACACATATTAGATGTACATATAGTTTATATATAGATATTTAAATATTGTCATTTTAAACTTCAGTCCCTGTGATACAACCATAATGTGATCATGTTGTAAATAAATGTCCATCCTACGAATGCAGTGTTGACTCTTATTTATTTTTAGACATGAGGTAACTTCACACACAAAGCTTTATCACAGAGGGACGCTTATATTTGAGCACAGACTTTTTACACTGAAATGGAAGCTTATTGTTTTTTTATGTCCAATCTATGATATTAGAGGGGCATTATGTTGTCTGGTCTGTGTGTTTGTCATCCCATATCAGGTTAAAGTTTTAGTTTAAGGTAGTTTGTGGTCACATCAACTTGAAACATAGTACATATGTTCATGATGAAGTGAACTGTTTAATATTTATGCCAAATTAGGGTTTTGAACCAGATTTTTTGGTTCCTTGAACATAGATATGTAAGTTAAAGTTTTAGTTTAAGGTAGATTGTGGTCACATCAACTTGAAACTTAGTACATATGTTCATTATGAAGTGGACTGTTTGATATATATGCTACCGGTACTTAGCGCTCTTCCTTTGCTTTTTGTGTGTTTTTTGCTGTCCTGGTTTTATGTCATGGATGGATACCCAATATCCTTTGTTTTTCTTTTATAATTAGGGTTTTGACATAGGTTTTATGGTTAATTGATATGTAATGAGGTGAGCGAGACATGGTGTCGGATGGAAGCATATTCTTGTTTTAACTTTCCAAATCTGGTCTCACATATATAAAAAAAATCTTATATTCTCCAGCCTGGCCAGCCTTATTTTTTCTTTTACATTTCAGTCATTCAAAAAAAAAAAATGTTCATTTTCATCATCACTCAAACATTTCCTTACTACACCAGGTGATGAAAAAATCAAAGGAGCATGTATTATAAAAATCAGAAGATGAGGTATGATTGTCAATGAGACAACTGACTCCATCACAGACAAAATGAGATAGAAGTAAGCAACTATAGGTCACCGTACAGCCTTCAACAATAAGCAAAACCCATACCGAATAGCAAGCTATAAAGGGCCCGAAGGCGAAATGACAAATGTAAAACAATTCAACATGAAAACTAATGGTCTGATTCATGTACAAAACTAAAAGGGAAAAACAAATATGATATTTAGCAACAAACGACAACCACTGAATTATCGGCTCCTGACATGGGACAAGCATATAGAGAATGTGGCGGGGTTGAACATGTGCCTGGGCACAATGTATTGCTCATCTTATGTTAATGCATAAAATTTACTAATGTTTCAGTCAGATTTGAAAAGAAGATGGCACTTTGGCAGCAAAAAGAGCTATAAAATGCAGAAAATCTATTTTGAAAATCCAATTAGAAAAAAGTTTGAGTTGTCTGATCAGCTTCCCATAACCTGTCAAACCTTGTTTATCTGGGTGTATCCACCAAATAAAACCGTCCAAAGACAAACATTTCCACAGCATTATTTGTCATTTGCAACCCATTATGATATACTCCTATCCAGAAAAAATATCAGTGATACATAAAAATGAGATCAAGTTAAGATCAAACTTGCCAAGTGGACATGTAAACCTCACAATCATTCCATACACAAAGTATAGTTCAAATATTGCTTATAGTATCTTAGAAATCGACATAACCACAAAATCTTAACTTAACAAACAGACCATAACAACGAGGTCAAGATTATAGGAACATTGCCAGATGCACATGTACATTTTGTAATCATTCCATACCACACATATAGTTGACCTATTGATAATAGTACCTGAAAAAATAGACCAAACCACAAACACATAAAATTCACCATGAACCATGAAAATAAGGTAAAGGTCGGACAACCATGCCAGACAGACATGTAGTCAGTCACCTAACAATCATATCATACACCAAATATAGCTGACCTATGCTATGGCTTATAGTATCTTAAAAAACAGACCTAATCACAAAAACTTAACACATTGACCAAATAACCATAAAAGGTCTAATGAATTATTATACATCTTACAATTATCCCATACACTAAATATAGATGGCAGATCATACT